TTGGGGATGTCATCTTCCAAAAAATAATATATACTCATTCCTTTGCATCCTATATCCTATATTTAAATTTAAATAATTAAAAACATGATAAACTTAAAACATAACCTAATTATTATATTAACATATTCACAAATCACAATCTTAAAAAAATAAACGAATTCAATTCTCTATTCTGCTATTCACAATAACAAATTTTTAATAATAAATTAAAATTTTCACAATTTACAAATAAAAAAAGAAATATGCAATTTAGATAATTAGATTCAATTATGTAAGAAAAAAAAATCTGGCAAAGTAGAAATGGAAGATGAAGATTTGTTCGAAAAAATCTAGCAAATTAGAAATGGAAGATGAAGATTTGTTCGAGAAATTGGGGGTGTCATCTCCTAAAAAATAATATATACTCACTCCTTTGCATCCTATATTTAAATTTAAATAATAAAAAACATTATAAACTTAAAACATAACCTAATTATATTACTTCCTCCGTCCCTCATAGATCTTCTCATTACCCTTTTTATTTGTCCGCCATAAATCTTCTCGTTACATATTTTAACACACAAAATACCCTAAATACCCCTCTTCTATTTCTCTTACTTTTTTTTCTCCATCTCTCGTCCGCCACTTCGTTTTTCTTTCTTCGTTTCTTTCTCCCCCCATCCTTCTCTCCTGCCAAATTTCTTCTTCTCTCTTCCCTTTCTTCTTCTTTTCTTATTTTCTTTGTTTTTCTACTCCTTTCTTCTCTTTCGTCTTCTTCTCCTCCGTATTCTTCTTCTTCTTCGCCATCTAGATCTGTGAATCTGTGATGGTGGGGTAAGGGCAGTGGCGGCGATTGCAGGGCTGAGGACGGCGGCGGCGGCGATTGCAGGGCTGAGGACGGCGGCGGCGATGGGAGAATAAAGATGGCGGCGACGACAGTGGGGATGAAGGCGGCGACGGCGATGGTGAGTCTAGATCTATATTTCTTTCTCTTCTCTCTCCCCCTTCTTTTTCCTCCATCTATGTTCTAGATCTAGACCATGATCACGGCGATGTTGAGACCGGAGGCGGTGGTGGGGATGACGATGATTGTGAGGACTAGGGTGGCGGAGGTGGCGGTGAAAGTGGGGTGACAGTGGTCAGCGTCGGTGGGGAGGTTACGTGCGGTGGTAACCGGTAACAAAGCAATCGGGTGAATTGCTCAGAGGCAGAGCAAGTAGGGGGCATATTGGGAAAGTCAAGAGTCTTTTTAACACTCCTAAAAAACCGTGAAAAGTCAAATTGGGAACATCTTATATGGACGGAGGGAGTAACATATTAAAAATCACAATCTTAAAAAAGACAATAACAAATTTATAACAATAAATTAAGATTTTTATAATTTACAAATAAAAAAAGAAATATTCTATTTAGATAATTAGATTCAATTATGTTAGAAAAAAAATCCGGCAAAATATTAATGGAAGATTTGAAGATTTGTTCTTGAAATTGGACCCCATATGACCCAATGTGGTCCGCCCCTGCTTGTTGAACAATCTTCTTGCATGGTTAATTTTCTTGCCGGGTTCCCATTTTGAAGTTGTTTGCTAAGACTTGCTTTTCTTGAACATACTTGATTGAACTTTCTAGCCCATAAATGTAACCAGTCTTCCACCTTGGGATTAGGGCTGGGTTGGGAAAACCGAAAACTGCAAACCAAACCAAAACCAATCGAAACGAGCTAGAAAAAAAACCGAACTTAAAAAACCGAAACCGAATGTAAAAAAACCAAACCAAATCGTTATTGTTTGGTTTCCGTTTTGGTTTTCACTTTGGAAAACCGAACCGAACCGAATAAACCGAACTTTCTTAAACACTTCGCTTTATTTATATGAGTATATATGATATGTAAAAAAATCATAGCAATATAAATGCAAATAGTTGACTAGTCGATTAAAGTTATTTTCTTAAATATTAATTAAACATTTTAAACCATACTATAAACTTTAAAAAAACCTAAGAATATAAAAAACAATAACTAATCCTAATATAGAATCATATTAACATTAAACATTGATACGAGTAATTTACACATTTACGTAAAAACATTTGATGTTATAATGGAAATGAAAGTATTATACCAAAAAATGCAAATTCTCTGTATATATACATACGATGTCTTTGGAAGTATTTGGAATCTCCTAGATTTTTGTTTGACACTCGACACATATTTTTGTAAAATTGAACCGAACGGAACACCAACCTTCCGTTTGATTTTTGGTTTTGTATAAAAATCAAATCAAAAAACCAAACCCAAACCTACATATTGTTATTCCTTCATTGGGTTAGTATTTTTACAATTTTTTAATGCTTATAAATTTTTATTTTTAAAAACCAAAAAAATCGAAAAAAACCGAAATAAAAACCGCATAAAACCAAACTGAATAACCAATAGTTTACATATTTTTTTATGCAAAACCGAATCGAACCGAACCGCCAACTTACCTTCCGTTTTGTCTTTGGTTTTGGGTGAAAACCGAACTGCCAAAACCGAACCCACCCCTACTTGGGATATATCTTAAGAATGTCCAGGTCATCTCATGTCCTGTTAAAATATGTCTTGAAAAGGTCCAGGTCTAATAGATATTCAACCAAACCGGTTTGACTTTTAAACATATTCTCATCAACTCCATAGAACGTCCAGGTCACCTTGTGTTTGACTTATCTCTTGAACCGGTTTACTTCCAGGTTGAAATGTAATAATCGTCTAGGTTGAGTTTGTCCTGATCCAATCTCAATGGATTGGTCCCAATGTGTTACCGGTTTGGCCATAAACTCCCGTCCAGGCAACCAGTCAAATTTTGACCTGTCAATTTCAAACTTTTCCAAATGTGTCTGATCTCTTCAAATGCAACATCTTGAAAAGTGACCGGTCACTTTCTCAAAAGTTGACCGGTCAATTTTTAGAAATTCTCTTTTACCTCTTTTTAGCCAATCTAGACCACTTTAAAATTTGACCGGTCAAATTTTTGACCATACCTCTTTTATCTTATATCCATCTGGCCTGCATGTTATGTTCAACACTGACCTCGATCAAACTTCGAACGAATATTTCGAAACGGCTTTTACTATAAGTCTTAACATCAAGACCTGACTCGTCTTCGGAGATTTTGACCATGTCCTATGATCGCGAACCCTCTCCAAGGTCCAGCCTTCTTCCAGGCAACAGCCTTCTTCCAGGGCCCCTCTTCCGGGTTTTTAGTCTTTTAATGTGCCATCCTCTAATTATTAGGTTGACCAAGCCAACCTAATCTTCCCACATGGGGGTATGCCGGTGAGAACCAGCCCTCATCCAATCCTGCACGTCCATATTTTATGTGTTCGGAAATTCTAGTCTTCCCTAGACATTCCGATCCACAAAGGATGGCTCATACAAGACGGTAATATTATTTTTTTTCTCTTTTGGCATCTTTTCTAACCCTTCCCGACCAAAAAGTCGGTAGGGATCCATGTAAGTATGGATGTGAATCCTCTTCCGGATCCAGCCTGTCTCAAGGCGATACCTCAACATCAAGGCCCCTATCTCAAGGGTTTTTTTTCTTTTTTTGCTATCAGCCCATGCAACGGTCCAGGTCCTAGACATCAAGACTGATCCGTCTAAAGCAAGCTTAGTAATCTTGACCACATTTTGTCCATCCTCTCTTCTTTCCTTGATCCTATTCATGTGGGTGGATTCAAGTACTCGCCTATGGGTCTTCCTCAAGCCCTGTAACGAATACTTCACCCAATTCCCCTTTCAAGGTCATCTCCCTGAGCACGACCCTCACATTTTGGCAATCTGTCGTGTTGTGAGAATCTGACTGGTGTTAGGTACACCATTTTTCCGTCCAAACCCTATTTGGTTGATCTCCCTTCTTGTCCCGTATTTGGTGCACTATCCCGTCGTTAGTGACCTTTGGCCTTGAACCTCCCGCCTGGTCGTCCTTCCTTGCCTTCTCTGATTTGGCTTTTGTGTAGCCTTCTTTCAGTTCTCTTTTGATCCGATTCAGGTTTTCTGCTTCGGCATACTCCCATGTTATATTGTATGCTTCCTGGTAAGAGGAAGCAGGCCTAGTGCAGAACTCGGTATAAAAGTCACCCGACCGGAAGGCGTTCATCAGGAGCGACATTGCTGTTTTGTCGTCCATCTCCTCTACTTTGTCTACCTCATCCCTCCATCGGGTGAGGAATTGAGTCAACGACTCCTTTTCCCTCTTCCCTACCGTGTTAAGGTAGGTGAACTTCTTCCTCTTGATGCAATTCTCCCGGTATTTCTTGTGGAAAATCTCCGCCAGTCTCTCAAAAAACCTGATTTTGCCATGGGGAAGGTTATTAAACCATTCCACTGGTCTTCCTCTAAGGGATGAGAAGAAGAGTAAGCACTCTTCTGCATCCGTACACCCAACCATTTGCGCGGCGTTGTGGAAGGTGTCAAGATGGATGTCCGGATCCTCTTTTCTGGTGAACTTCTCTACATCCAACTTGATCTTCCGCCCTAGCCTATGGGCATGAACCCTGGCCGAGAAAGGAGATTTTGCCAGGGTACGTTTTTTCACCCCCGCCTTCTCTTCCACTTTCTCCTCTAGGGCGCGTCGCTTTCTCGCGACACTCTCTGTCTTGTCCAGATCATCCTCATCATATGAGAGCCTGTATACTCCGACGCCCTGGGTTGACTTTCGGCCTCTTCCTCGTCCAGGTGAATCGTCTCAGATTCCCTGGAACGTCTTGATAAGGCGGGACGACCCCACCGAGTCTTTCCATCACGCTAGTCTGGCCCATCTCAGGACCAAGAAGTAGCTTGGAAGACTTGCGGGGTCTATCCTATTTATCCCCCAAGTTCTTGAACGCTGAATCACGGGTTTTGCTAGGCTTTGCCACAACCTTACCCTTCCTTCTGCGGGCCTCCTCCTGCTCTGCATCATTGGCCTCCTTCGAGTTGCCTTGGACGTTAGAAGGTGCCGCTTTGTCCATCGCCCCTGTCAAATTCACCAGGCGCACAGGGACCACCCTTGGGATGAATGTTGACGGGGTTGATACCAGAGGAGGTACATGACTTACGACCGACGGGAACATGCCAGGATAGGAAAACGACATGAAGCCCCCCGCCTGTTGCATCATGGCCATCACCTGATGATAGCCTTGGAGAGCTTGGGCATTCGTCGGGTCAGCGGCAAATTGAGCCAAGCTCGACGGGAATGGCGTGAACGCCCCCTGGCATTGTTATCGGGCTTTGGAACATTGTCATCGTGGGCATTGGAGTAGGGGTCGACATGATCGGGATCATCCCAAGCGATCCCATCGAGTTGATCGGGGCAAAAGTCGACCCCATGCTAGTCATCAGCGGGAGTGCTGTCACTCGCGGCCTGGCTTGAAACAGTGGTGTGGTTGCTTGAAGACATGATCGTGGATATTTCGTGGGGGTGAAGTTTTGACCTGGTCAAAAAATTTCACAAATCGGGCCCCACGGTGGGCGCCAAAAATGATGGTGTAAATATAACCGGGTAGGTTGACCGGGTCTAACCTAGACACAAACTCTACTCGTAGTACACACACAATCAGAACACAAAGTATGGCCTAGACCGGGTAAAACTCCTCAGTTCGAATTATATTTCTTACTCTATCTCAAGAGTGTACTTTTAGTGAGATAAAGATTGCCCCCCTCCTCTATCCATAATTAACATATTTATAGAGGAGAGTGTGTGACCTTTCCCTGTTCACCCGTAGACAAAATAGGAAACAAGTAGGAAGGTCACTGTAGTTAATGGAAGCACTGTACAATCAATGATTTTAATAGCTACAAGCCAAGAAACTATTCAATCAATGACTTTAAGGTAGATCTTCCCTAGCCAATCAACCCTGCAAGATGACAAACATTCCTTTCACTGTATATCTCGCGATGGATGAGCGGCGAGGTGGTCCCCTGGCCTCTGATGCTGATTGCCATGCTTGAAAGGGTGGCCGAACATTAGCTAAGTAGGAGAATATGACCAATCACCTTTCCTCGAAGTTCGACCAGTCATTTCTTGAGCCCAACCCGTTTCTTTGGTCTTCCAGAATGTCCTTCGTAACATTAGATGACATTTTGGCTATCGCCCAAAATGTGATCGGTCACTTTTTAAAGGAAAATAACCGGTCAATTTTCGGCCCGTCTCTTTCGAAGAGTTTGTCTCATTTTGTAGTTAAAGAAAGTGACCGGTCAACTTTTTGACCTGTCCCTTTCGGAAATTCGGGTCGGGTATAAGGATATACCCATCAAGAAGTCCTCCACTTACCGACCTTGTGAGGAAGTCATCAAGGGCGGGAAGTATATTTATGTTGGCCCGTCACTTTTAAAATCATCAAGTCTTCCTCTCAGACCTCTCACTTTTGAAATCATCAAGTCTTCCTCTCAGACCTGTCACTTTTGAAATCATCAAGTCTTCCTCTCAGACCTGTCACTTTTAAAATCATGTCACTTTTAAAATCATCAAGTCTTTCCCTTGACCTGTCCTTTTTTATCCGTGGAGTCCAGTCGCCAAGCCTTGCATTTTTTGGAGTTTCCCACCAAAACCCTTCACCTTCCAAATTGAAAATTCAAATCCCCCCTCATCATTACGCCCTACACGTGTCAGCCTCTCCTCCTTCCACCTGTCGTTTGGTACTCCGGCCCTCCTCCTCTCTAATAAATTCCTTCAACCCACACCATTTCTTCACTTCTCTTCTTCGCTTCTCGAACTTCAACCGGTCTTGTTTCTCTCTCTAGCTTTCTGCCAAGTAAGTTGCCCAGTCCTCCTAGTATTTTATTCTTTCAATCTTTCTATTCTTAACCGGTAGGCTATTACTATGTCGTCCTCTAATGATAGCCAAAACGTGTCTGGCCAATCTTATGGGTCGGGGTCTCAGCCCTCTTCCTCTGCCCAGTCTGAGTCATCTTCTCCCCCTGCAACTCCTCTAATCCGCCGCTCCTCCCAAAAGCCTAGCTCTCAGGCCCAGGAAATAGTTGTCCAGGAGCCTGTTCCCTTAAACTGAATGCCCGGTCGGTTTAACTCAAAGGTCCACACCTGGGAGGAATGGGAAGAGCGGTTGGAATCAATGGGCTTCCTAGGCATTGATACTGAACTGGTGTTCAAAACATCCTCCAAGGTCACTAAAAAGGTCTTGGCTGACGTCCGCTCTTTTCTTCCACAGGGTGTAATACCCCGTATCAAGATGGGAATGGGAAGAGCTCAAAATGATTGATAGTACTACTCATACCAACAAGGTGCATCTTCTTTTCGAGAGCTCATCACTTAGAAACTCCAATGTTAAGCGTGTTTGACCTGGAGCAATTCTAGGATGGGTGACCCCCTGGGAAGTTTTCCTTGGGCACTCACGAGTGAGGACAAAGTGTGGGGGCCGGGGTGTTACAAATGGTATCAAAGCAACCCTGCGACCGTGACGGGTCAAAAGAGCTAGTTCACCTAGCGGGGAAGATCTATGGGTTCAAAAAAAAAGGATGCAACGAGGACGTTGCATTCATAAGTGGGTGTGAATGTAATACCCCGTATCAAGATGGGAATGGGAAGAGCTCAAAAGGATTGATAGTACTACTCATACCAACAAGGTGCATTTTTTTTTCAAGAGCTCATCTCCTAGAAACTCCAAAGTTAAGCGTGCTTGACCTGGAGAAATTCTAGGATGGGTGACCCCCTGGGAACTTTCTTTGGGCGCGCACGAGTGAGGACAAAGTGCGCAGGAAAGACTTGTGTTTGTTTGTGGGGCCAATCTACAATCCTATGAGTGGACACTTACAGCTAGAGTGGGGGCCGGGGTGTTACACCCGGCTACATCCTCCCTTCCAAAACCGTGTGGCCTAATATAGTAGAACCCCATCAAGGAACCCGGTTGGGTTTTCACATTGTTTCTCTCGAGGTGGTATAATTTTCCCCCATCGTCCCCTCCTTGTCGAAATCTGTAATAAGTTTCATGTGTTGCCCGGTCAGCTCACTCCTAACGCCCACCGGTTACTGCTTTGTCAACATCTGCGATTCTTTAAAAATCAAGCTTTCCCTTTAACTCTTTCTTCATATGTTCGAAGTTTTACCCAGGACTAGTAATTGCTCGGGCTTTGTTTACTTTCATTCTCGTAACAAGAGGGGTTTTGTGACCGGCCTCCCCCTAGTCACAAAAAGTGGAAACAAAATTTTTTTTATTGAGTTTCCCCCTGAGCAATTTCCATTTTCTAACCTTGAGTGGGTTGACCGGATAGAAAAACCTGAAAGGGTTCATCCGGAGCCCACGCCTGAGCTTGAGGACGCATGCGAGAAACTTCTCAAGGGTGATCCTGTGACCGGGAAACCTTATTCATATGGTGGCTGGGTGTACCGGTTACCAACCCAGATGGGGGCACGTCCGCGACCCATGACGCAGAAGATGACCAGGCTAATTCATTGAATAGTCATGCTGAGGACGGTTCCCCTCATCCAGGTTTGTCCTTCTCCTATAAATATTTGTTTTTCAATCAAGAGGAGGAGAGGGCGAGGTCTGCTCAATTGCAAGAGGATGGGAGGAGAAAGGTGGCTGAGCTCGAGGAGGCGTTGGCCCAAGTTGAAGAATCTACCCGGGCGAAGGTGTAACGCCCTCCGTCCCGCGAACTCGGTTCACTGCAGCCCAACGAGTCGGAGAGGTTACGTAGACGGTTTTTAGGACCATCTACAGAATGTTAGAATAATAGAACAACGCTAGAGGGGGGGTGAATGGCGTTTGATCGTAGAAATCGCAGGAATTAAAAAATCAAAAGATATGTAAAGAGAAGAGTAAGAGGCACACTGAATTTTACCCTGGTTCACCACAACTTGTGGCTAATCCAGCCTCCCGAGAGACTCTCTCGAGCTACACTACTATCTCGTTAAGCTTGCGGGTGCTTAACAAACGGTTACAACTTGAGGGTTCGAGTTACACGAACCTCAACGAGTCCTTCAAAGGAAACAACCCTTCCTTTGAATCTACCGAGAGAAATACTTTCTCTCAAAGTGTCTAAGAACACGAATACACTCAAGAACGAGACTCTCTTATAGAGTAGATTATGAGTAAACTAAGTATGCTCAAGAACAACTCAACCTTCACACAAAATGGCTCTAGGAAGCTATGGAAAGTGATGATATTTGAATGCAATGAAAGTATGAATTTTGTGAAATGAATTGATGTGTAAAGCATACCCAAACACCCCTTTTTATAGTGCCAAAATAGGCTCCAACGGACCAATACATTAAAGGGGTGATTGGCTTGATTTATGGGATTGAAAAGATTTGGGATCTGCAGAATATTGGCTTCCCATCGATGTTTGGAACCTACCCATCGCTGGTAAGCCAGTTTTCCTTTAGTTTTGAAGCCAACGGTTACCTACCCATCGATGGGTACAAGCTTCCCATCGCTGGGTGGGAGGTTAACTTCCAAAAAGGAAAGAATCAACCTTAAATGACCTACAACGGTCATCCCTTCCCATCGATGGTATATCCTTACCATCGCTGGGTTCCCATCGATGGGATAGGTTTCCCATCGCTGGGCAAGCTCGTTCTGTCTTGTGATAATTTTGCACCAAGGCTCGAACAGCGATGGGTAGAACTTCCCATCGCTGTTTGGCATGGTTCTGGAAATTGGTTTGGCTAAGGGACCGCTTACCCATCGTTGGGAAGATCTTCCCATCGCTGGGTGGGTGGTTAGTCAAGAACCCATGGTTTTTGCCTTAACCACGGCCTAGCCAACCGATGCAAAAACCGACCGAAAAATCCAAAGTTCTCCAAAATAAAAACCAAGTGTTTAAAACACTTATTTGATGTATTTGGCTAAGAAAGTAAGTAAGACACTTTAAAAACCACGTCCTTTGAGTGAAAAACCACGGCTAGCCAAGTTCATGCCGTTTTGAATGATTTTTGTCAAACGACCAAAAGCGAAAGATGGTTTTCAAAGTGTTTTTGTTGGAGAACCGTTTAATCATGCCAAAGAGTGAAAACCAATCATAAAAAGTTGAAAGCCACTCGGTTGGTTCGGACGCCAAAAACCATAGCCGATAACCGAGAGCCGAACGCCGGTTTCTGAAACCCGAACGCTGGATGGCTTGGTTTTTGGTTTGAGCGAACACCAAGTGTTTTTAATGACTTAAACAAGTTTGAAAAACATTTTTATGATGTAAGAAATGCAGTGAAAGGTTTTAGCCTAAAGAGCCAATGCGTGAGGGTTGGGTCGGTCTTGATTACAATGATGACCGACTCAACAATACTAAAGACTGCGGTCTTCGTTCTTGGTCTCTTTTAGCTCTTGTTCTTTTTCTTCGTTCTTCGCCTTGTATATTCAATGTTTGTCTTGATCACGGCGGTTTGGCATTATCAAAACCTGTTACAAAAAAAACGAACACGGCTTTAGTACGAAAACGTGACATGCCCGTGTTTCAACAATTTCCCCCTTTTTGATAATGGCAAACGAGATGAGGTTATGCATATAAGGAAGGCTTTGAGACTTAAAAAAACGTTCCCCCTTAATAGATGCCATTTTATTTGAAAAGAAATTCCCCCTCAATTTATGCATAACCTTGATATCTTCCCCCTTTTGACATTAACAAAAAGAATTAAAAGTGAACTTTAGGAATTAAAAGTAAACTTTTATTCATTAAAAGATGAGAAAATGCTGAATACAACGGAATTGAAATAGATAAAAAATTGCAATCAAAGTAGGGAAAGGAGAGAGAGAAGAGTCTAGGCAGCGGCGTCCTCGTCCTCGGCGTCATCGTCTTTGTTCTCGTCATCCTCGTCGTCCTCGAGGTCCATGGGATCCCCGTCGACCGCGTCCTCAAAGTCGGCCTCGTCGGGGGAGGAAGACGGAGCATAGGAGTTATCCTCCTCGTCCTCGCCTTCATAGTTTTGGCCGAGGAAGGTGCTGTCAAAGGGCGGCGGGACGTAGTTGATGCCGCGGAAGAACGCCCTCATGTCGTGGTGTTGGCGTTGCAGCGTGCTATCCATCCGCTCCAAGTATTGGCCCATGCCGTCCACGGTGATGGTTAGCTGATTCAGGGTATCGGCTATGGACTGTAAGGAGGCCTTGGCGGGAGCGGGGGCTGGAGCCCGACTTGGTCCTGCGCCGTCTTGGTCTCCGGACTTCTTCCGGAAGGTGCTATCTTGGATGATCCAAATCTTCGTCATCTTCGTGCTTGGCCCGGCGATGTGGATGTCGGCGGAGACGATGAGGTCCATGACGAGGAAGGCGTATGGCAAGCTCCGCTCGGTGGTGATGGAGGCGCAATCCGCCATGTGAATCATGACGTATTTTGCCCAATTGATCGAGGCGCCATGGATGATAGCATGAACCGCCTTGAGATCCTCGTTGGAGAGAGAGGTGTGGCTACTGTCCCGGGGGCAAAGAATTTGGGTGAGGATGTAGAGTAGGAGACGCTTTTCCGGCGGGGCTGAGTGGATGGTTGGTGCGCCGCTGTGACGGATGAGGTTGGTGATTCCAAGCTCTTGGATGACCACCGCCTCGTTGTTGAGAATCCAATCATCGCCACCATATGTTGCGATGTCGTCACCGCGGGTGGGCAGCCCTGCAACCCGAGCAAAAGTAGCCAAGTCAAACTCTATGTCATTGAGATTGATGCTACTGCGGATGGTATCCCCGTCCCGGTGGAGATTGGAGTAGAAGGCCCGGACATAGGCGGGATTGAACGAGGTGCGGCTCTTGGAGACGAAGGGCCATAGACCCGACTCCTTCAGTTGATCGTCGAGGTCGTGGTATCCCTTCTGCTGAGGAAACAACTCGGGCAGCACCCTTGGCGGAGAGATGCGGCGTTTGGCGAAGTGGGTGATGAAGCGTGTGAGTTCCTCTTCCGATCCGAACTCCAAGAAGGATCCGTCCAGGTACGGGAAGGGTTGAGGCGCAGAGCTCGTGGCCTCGGCGACGGTCTTCTTCTTGGAGGCCTTGCTCTTGGACTTTCCTCCGGCCATGATTGAGGCGTGTAAAAGAAAATGAATGAGTTGAGTAGAATAGACTTGAGCAAGGCAATTAGAGAGGATAAAAGTGTGTTTAAAAAGGCTAAGGGTGAAGGGAATTTATAGGGAGAGGAGGAAATCCCGTTTGAATTTTGAAAAAAGAGCTGTTGGGCCATAAATGTAGTTCCAACGGTTCTGAGAATTTAAATTTCATCCGCCTTCCCAGCGATGGGTAGATCTTCCCATCGATGGGAAGGTTGCCACTGGAAAGCGAAGGAGAAAACTGAACTGCCTTCCCAGCGATGGTAGGATTCACCCATCGATGGGAGGGTTTATTCTGGAAATCCGTGAAAACCTTTTAAAAAAAATAGTGACAAACACCCAGCGATGGGAGAAAGTCCCCATCGATGGGTAGGTAGGTTCTGGAAAATTTTTTTGAAGCTGAAATCACTCACCCAGCGATGGGATAAAGGACCCATCGATGGGTAGGGTGTTTCTGAAAAAGTTTTTTTTTTGACAAAAGTCCTTCACCCAGCGATGGGAAGACATATCCATCGATGGGTAAGGTGTTTCTGGAAATTCGTTAAGAATTTTAAAAAATAGAGTCAATTACCCATCGATGGGAGAAAGTACCATCGATGGGAAGAGGGGTTCTGGTTAGATAATACTTCCTTCCCAGCGATGGTATGGCCTACCCATCGCTGGTTCCCCTGATTTCCAGAATTCTTCACTTCGAACCGTCCCTGCAAAAAAGAGTTAGAAAACCCTCCGACGCTCAAGTTAGTAAGTGTTCCAGCAAAGATAAAAGAATGATAAAGTGCACAAATTAGATCATCGTGGAGTCAAGGATTCCGAGTTCACTACGAATGCGGAAGAACGACTCTTTCTCTAAAGGTTTTGTGAAAATGTCGGCCAATTGGTTGTGTGTTTCAACAAACTCAATTTCGACATCACCTTTGAGAACATGATCTCTAATGAAATGGTGCCTAATGTCAATGTGTTTCGTCCTTGAATGAAGAACGAGATTCTTCGTCAAGCTTATGGCGCTAGTATTGTCACAACGAAGTGGAACGTGACTGATACTAAGGCCATAGTCCACAAGTTGTTGCTTCATCCAAAGAGTTTGAGCACAACAACTACCGGCAGTAACATATTCCGCTTCGGTTGTGGATAACGCAACACTGACTTGTTTCTTGCTGAACCATGAAACTAAAGAGCTACCAAGTAAGTGGCAAGTCCCACTCGTACTTTTACGGTCCAATTTGCAACCGGCAAAGTCCGAGTCAGAGTAACCAACAAGAAGACATGAAGAGCCTTTAGGATACCACAGTCCAACGTTAACCGTTCCTACAAGGTATTTCATGATCCGTTTCACCGCCGTTAAGTGCGATTCCTTCGGGCATGATTGATACCTTGCGCAAAGGCATACGCTAAACATGATATCCGGCCTACTAGCAGTAAGGTAGAGAAGGGATCCGATCATACCTCGATACTTTTTGACTTCAACTTCCTTACCTTTTTTGTCTTTGTCTAGGTGGTCGGACGTGCTCATCGGGGTCGCCATTGCTTTGGCGTTTTCCATTTCGAATCGTTTTAGGAGCTCCTTACAGTACTTTGTTTGGCAAATGAATGTGCCATCTTTCATTTGCTTGACTTGGAGTCCCAAAAAGAATGTAAGCTCACCCATCATGGACATCTCAAATTCGCTTGTCATTAAAGTTGAGAATTCCTTGCACAAAGACTCGTTAGTAGCACCGAATATAATATCGTCTACATAAACTTGAACCAAAAGGATATTATTGTTTTTACTCTTGATAAAAAGTGTAGTGTCTACCTTTCCCCTTTGGAAACCACTATCCAAAAGAAATTTACTCAAACGTTCGTACCAAGCACG